GTTGTAACTTGGGGAGTTCAATCCTGTCGAGTGTGAAGCAGTGCTCATTGAAGATCTTGGGCTCGATCCCGATCGGCAGGTGTTCGCGTTCAACGCTGGAAGTTCCTCTGTTCGAATCCTGCTAGTAGCTAGAGTCGTGCATGCTCACTGCTGATGAGTCCTGTACCAGGCTGAAACGTCCGTCCAGTGCTTTCACATTTCCAATGGTGCTCAAACCATGATTGATTCACGATCTCAGTAATAACTAACAATCTCCATAACTATACAAATGTGTTGAGGATGTTAGAATACCTAAAACTCGCTTGATAAATGCCTTATTTTGGATTTCACGTCAACCAGCATGGGCTGATCAGCTGACTTTGAGATCTCATTTCCCACCACGGAAATCTATGACTGTGATTTGCTGCTGTGTATTTTACTGTGCTATTTTCGTAACTGTCCCAACGACGTTTCTATGATGTATAAATAAACGAGAGTTGTGTGCTTGATTGTATTGCGATTGCTGGGTGTTTGTGGAATATACATTCTACGCTTACCAAGTCTTCTGATTTGCAGTTTGGGATTCAAGGTAGCCTGTCTGGACACTGGTGAATTCGTAATAGCTTAAAACGGATCAAGTGACGAACATAACTAAATGATCCACTTAATCGAATATATAATAGAAGTATTGATATTTTGAGACAATATAATCCTAATTTTATTTTGTCTTCATTGATGTGTTCAACTTCTTATTTATATGTTTATTCATTGAAAGGTATTTGGAATTGCAATTCTACAGTTTACAATAACTTTTGGAGGAACAAATTTATTTATTCTAATGTACGTGTTATTTGTTTGTTGAAGTTAATTAAAGTTGAATTTATTTTTAGCCATTGGATTAGTGCATGGGTTCAACAATACAAAATGATTCTTTGGTTTTCCAGGTAAATGACTATTGAGTTGCCTATTAGTAATAATATTGTTATTAGTGATAATAACAGATACTTTTCTAAATGAAATGTATGTTAAGAGTATACTACTTGTCAGTACTACTCACTATCATTCTCCCTTATATTTATTCACATTTATTTATCTACTACTAATTTCTATACTGATAGTATAAAAAATTCGATAAAATAACCAAACAGACAGTGACCAGCTTGTATATTTGGGTTATCTGTCCTGTTGATATCAAATATTTTTCAACAAGTTACCTGTTTCTGTCTGTTTTAACATGTCACTTATATCTATGAATCACATAATTTATTCAGGCGCGTACATAAAATGTTTATGTGCTATCGGCTTTATAAAATACAAAAATACAGTACAATTCGAGACATCACAGTGGCTAGTAATTTGTTTAGAACAGGATAAACGTTACTAAGATGTCAATTCCTGAACTTCCTACTTCCAATTGTCAATCTCTAATGATTTTGTAATCTGAAACTTGTTGAAATATTGAGCGCAGAAATTTCAACATTGTACTGAACATACAATATTGAATAAAGTCATCATGACTGTTTCATTACCGTGCTGAAATTACTTACTTACGCCTGTTACCCCCAATAAAGCACATTGCCGTTTACCAGCATTTCTCAACCTCCTCTTCCCTTCACTTTCCATTCCGGCTATTCCCAATCGCTATTCATTCTCTTCATATCTGTCTCTAATTCTCGGAGAAGAGTATTTTCCGGTCTTCTCCCTTGTTCCTGTGGTTCTCAGTTAGTACTTGCTTCGTTACTCAGTCGAAGGATGTTGCTGTTTGCCTTGTGTACGTTAATATTTATTGTTGCTGCAGAAGCTGCAACAACACTGGTCATCTTCTCCTACATTTGTTCTTGTATGTGGGATATAAGGTCTAGATCATCTGCCATGTCTAGAATGTCGATCTGCATCTAAGCTATGCATTGTATCCTGGCTCCGACCTCAAAAGTTGACTTCTTTATAACTCAGTCGACCACTATGAGTAAAAGAAAGGATGAGATTAGGCAATCTTATCGGACACCAGCCATCACTTGAAAGGAGTCTGTGATTTGTCAATCACAAGAATTCCGTAGGATGTGGATTTTCGCCGCAGGTACACCATGGTATCAAAAGAGCCTCCACAGTGTCATTCCCTCCACACTGTAAAATGCTTTCTCGTAGTCAATGAAGTTGATGTTCGGTGGTGAATTCCATACAGTTGATCGTGCCACAATGATCCGTACTGTTTTAATTCAGTCGACATATGACTGATACTTGCGGAATCCAGCCTGCTCATTTCGAACTTTAGTGTCTACTGAATTATCCATTCAATTAAACAACACACTGTTTTGAAGATTTTTCTTGGTATTGAGAGATGGCTGTTGCCTCAAACTTGTTGTGAAGGCCTTTCTTTGTTATTTTGATGAGGTGTGCTTTTAACCAGTCTGTTGGTACTTGTTCTTCATCTTAAATGTTAAGGCCACATGGCCTGTCCAAGCTTTTCGGCAATCTAATTAACTTTTTCTGCCCAACTTACTGCTCATACGTTTTGCTTTTACTTGATTACACGTGTCCTTTGCTTAATTCACTTGTCACATGTCTAACTTATATTTGTCTGACCACATATAACTCAGTTTTTACCTTCATCTTCTCATTGAGTTAGCTCATTCGACTATTCCTCTTTGCTACGCTTTGCTCTGCTTTGCTTTTACACTTTGTATACTCATGTCGGTCTGCATGAAATAAACTCATCCAACTGTATCCGTGCATTTAGCTTCTTATTACCGTCATCGCACAAACGAAGTTCGCCTAAGTACAATCAACTTAAGCTGAAAAGTAGATTGTATGTTATAACATATTCAGTCATTCATCTAAATCAGAGTCCGATCACCAGTCATTAGAAGAAGTTTCTACAACATGAAAATCACCATTGGGAATTGAACAGTTTCTTCATTAAATCAAAACATAATTTGTATGCAATGAAAGAGAAATTTTTCTAATTCTGATAAAAATTATTCTAGTTATTCACAATCTTTATTGTTGTTTACAGCATTATATACATAGTTCTTCTATTAATATGGGTATTCGTCCCAGTATTAACACGAAAATATCCTTACAATATATTGTATCTATTATTGATGGTGAGTGTGTATGTACATAAATGGTTACGTTTCAATTGAAGTATGTACGCATTAAAAGTTAATAAGAAGCGGTTTCAGTTTAAAACAGCTTAAATGCATGAAAACTGCAGGGTAAATTTCTACTGACTTATCTATCTAACTATCCACACATCTATCTATCTATCTATTGATTCAAGACTGTCCAAATAATCTCTTAAGTTGTCTACTAACCAACGTTAACTTTACAGTTTTATTGATATCATCTTTGAACACCTGAAAGTACTGGACTATCATTTCATTCTAGTATATGTCTCCTCAACAGTACACATACAGAACATGTCGACCTACACATCATTATCTAATTAGTAATTGACCATGTGATGTCAACTTTACATAAACACAATTATTCCACTTACATGTTTGTGATTGTTTTTTTTTCCGCTCACATTATATTATCATCATTGAATATAAGTAGTATAACCTCGCAAGCTGTTATTATTATTATTATCATTTTTATTCTCATTGCAGACAATATTTT